GGAAAATATGCTGCTTTGCTATTTGCTGATATAAGTTGGTCATCAGCATACATTTTTTTCTGTATGTGACTAGTTGATGCTACTTTAACACGACTGATATATAAAATCAGTCACCATTATGTAGTATTTTTGTAAGTAGTAAGATTATATTCACTTCAACACCATCAGATATCGGCGGATGGCTCTAAAATGGCATCCTGACAAAAATCCCGACAATGTGGAAGAAGCTTCCAAAGCTTTTAAATTAATTGCTGAGGCGTATGAAGTATTATCTGATGGTAAGATTTCGATCTACGTCATATTAGAATCATGTTCTTGTCCTGCGGGAGTATCGTTCCGTAGAGTTCCTATAATTTCGTATGTATGCATCACCAAGCATACACGGTATACCTTTGACGGACACAAGGAATAGCATTTGCTGTACATAGAAGCTGTATAAGTATGATGTGTTTGTAGTAGTTGATCACTGAACACCTTTTCTCGACTATAGAGGAGAAACGCGAAGCATACAACTTGGCACAAAGTAGTAGCGCACATCAGCATCCGAATGGTAGCTTTGCAGGCGCGAATCATGCTGAATTTGCAGACAGTGGATTTGGGCCCACGGGTGGTGCATCCTTCCAAACCTATGCCAATTCAGGTATGCGGGGTGCGGGGACTCCTAGTTGCTCAAGTGTCATTTAGTCGCGATTTATTCTATACCGTTCGGCTGCTCGCTTATATTAGTTGGTGTAGACGAATATTCTATTTACCTGGAGGTAGTTCTATCTCGAATTGTGTTTTGTACGGTAGATCATGCTGCCTTCACTGTTGTATCTGCTGTAGAGCTTCTTCTATACTCATTTGAGGTTTTTCGCTGAGTTGCAGGCCATCATTCGGAGATGCCCAGTTTCAGTATGTTCAGCAATGTTGAGATGGACGATGATCACTGGCGAGATCCCTTCGGCGGGATGTTCTATAACTTCACGGATCCTTTTGAGTTATTCAATTCCTTCTTCCAGGAGATGGGCTTAGACAATGGCATGGGTAGTGGTTTTATCCAGAACGCGCACCGGGATATACACCATCATGTCACGAGTACAATGTTCAACCAACATCAGCAGATTCAGCAATCGCCCATGAATCGAGGTGCCACAGAAGTGAGTGGAACTGTGTTTGTTCATACCAGTGGGGTTCAAGTGCTATTTATAGATTCTCTGCCAAGTTGTAGTATATACATCAATCTTTTGCAGTTGATATTTATGCCGACTTTCGACTCACATCCGCAGGTACAAAGGCAACGAAATTTACAGATGCAGCAGCAACAGCAGCAGCAAATGGCAATGCATATGGATCGACAACGGCGACACGACTTGATGTATCAACAACAGCGTATGATAAATCAGAATGAAGCTACTATAGCCCAACTGCAGGAGCAGGTATGCACAAGAGCTGTTCCAACAAGCATAGCACACACATGTCTGACGTAGATTCCATTCATGCTTACAGTTTCACCCACAAAAGAGCATTTGTCTGAGCTCATGGTCATCGATTCATCGTCCTTGTTTTCGATGTTCATTGCAAGCTTCTTTGAAGTGCTGAGTTGTGGCCGCGAATTTTGATAAGTTATTTCGGTAGTACATTGTGTCTCAATTCAAATCTTGCCACATTTTTCGATGGCCAAAGCTATCGTTGGCTTGTTTTACAAAAACTAGTGGACAATAGTCGCTACTGTCCAATTGAACTGCCGTCGTTGCCAGTTGAACGTTACCGATGATGCGAGCCTTTGCATATCGCTTACGGGTTACCTAAATATCATTTACTATCGGCTACCTCTCATATACGCATTACTCTTATTCGCCCCAGCTCCAGGCAAACTCCGAAAGACCACGTCAACAATCACAACAGACGAGTACAATATTACTGGGTGGATCGAGAGATCTGCAGTCATACTCATCACCTGGATTCGCCTCTCCAGGGTAACTATGCTCGTTCAACTGTATATTGATGCAACGATTTTGTCCTTTTGATTAGTTCGCGAGTTCTGCTATATTCTCAAGTCCATTACTCACTCTCTCACTATACCGCAGGATGCAAATGATGCAGATGCATCAGCAAATGATGATGTCCGGAGGTGGTTTCGGCGGAAGTTTCGGTGGAGGTTTTGGTGGCATGGGCATGGGCATGGGCTTTGATGGCTTCGGAGCGATGGGAGGGATGACTCCCATGAGTGGATTTGGGCAGATGGGGAATATGTTTCCTCCAATGTTTGATATGAATGGGATGCAGAGGTATCTAGCGCGTGACAATTTTTGCGTGCATTGGTAGAGCGGTTGTGTACTTTCTATGGAATCGAATGGTCGTAAGATTGCTTTGGCCTACCGTCACGAGTCTCACGGTGTTTTGATCCTTTTGCCCAGCAGCGGAGCATCATCCTCATCCACATCCACCCAGATAGTCAATGGCCGCACAATCGTTACGAAAGAAGAGGTGAGCATTAATTCTTCTATCATCTATGCTTTTTTGACGTGGGATGCCTCGACGAATATCAGTTGTTTACATGCATGTATCGACCCTTCGCACTGATAATTTGCCTCAAAATCTTACAGATTCGGGATGGGCATCGGGTCACTATCGTCATAGAGGATGGAACGACAGTCGCGCACACCGTTGATGGGGTGGATCAGCTCGGGTAGATTGATACAGATGTACTATAACTCAACTTGTCGCCTCGAGCGTAATATGCCCATCAAGAAAGTTCATCGCAGTGCATGCTCCAATTGCAGCGCGTGCTCCATGTTTTCAGAAACCGGTGAAAGTTAAATGCGCAGAAGCATCTACTATGCAGATCACATTTTCTCGAAAGCAATTTTTCTATGCCGAACCCTATGTACAGTGATCAACTTCGAGAAAGCAATGACGTTCATTTAACAGACTTCCGTACTCTTGGCCCATAGCGAAATAAGCCGATAGGTGCGAAAAGTTCATGACACTAATGTTCACAGCTTGCTTCGGAGTGTGAGGAAATAGGATCGTATGTAGGGCAGCCATCAGCCACGAATTTTACTCTACAAATCACGCACGAGCGCATCCACCTATTCGAGTCACGGGCTACAAACATGCATTAGTAATGCACATGTTGTTTTACAGCTTGCGGAAATTGGATTGTACAGCTGCCGCAAAAACGTGACAAACTGCAAGCCTGAAGCCTGGTAACCAGTATGGAGGTAAAAAATGTTTCGATTACCGTCAATTTTGTATGATAAACATAGCAGCGGCCTGATCCGAAATACATTGGAATGATAGATACATCAGAAAACTGCAACTCGCACGCCGACTGAGATTACGTAATCTTCAATTGGTTTAGGAAGAGGCTGATCCACGTATTCTCAAGGTTTCCCCAGACACTATCACTTCCAGTAGTGGGTGCACAGACGATGCTCATGCACTGACCGTTTTACACATTTTTTCCTATATTGCAATGCCAGCTACACAAAGTAAACAATAAAAGCTCTGCAGAATCATAGAGATTCATCATATATCAAATATCCCTCGAACGAGTCTTGGGAGTGCCAACAAATCAGAAAGAAAGTATCAATTTATGTTCATACACTTTTATCATCAGCCATTATCACAATCAGGTCCCACAAAAAATCCAGGAGGTGATTTCCTTTCCTGGACAGCAGACTAAAAGTTGACATTTGCTCAAGTGCTGTCCTCGGATCTAAATTCAAGCTTGAAGCGGTACGCCATGACCATATCTAAGCGGCTGTAAATAGAAGGGCGCGGAAGTTTTTGTGGTTGCGAATCTCCAACAACCACTAAAATGCGCTGATGAGTAAGACGGACGCCGAAGCTGTCAAACGCAACAATTGAGACATCACAACGTACTTACCTTAAAGCAAATGGATAGTACAAAACATAGTTTGTGTCCCAAAGGTTGTTGTAGAGGTTGAACGCCATCCCGGTTACATATTCGGGAAGTAGGCCGGCAGTCGTCGGATTGAAAAGGACTGATCCATAGGGATCTGAGAAGCGGAGACCAAACACAGCAAAGTGAATTTACGACTATTGACGCTGTGGACATTATTCTGTGATGGATCCACCGCATTCGAACATTTTTCATGACAGACAACCGCAGACATACGAATACTGTGCTTATATGAATTGAACCTACCGCTAAGCGTGGCAGGCAGCGCAAGAGAAGTATCAAGGGTACGAATTTTCACGATTGTCGTTTCAGAAGAACTATGACTATCTGGCAGCAGGCGGTTCTTCCTTCTAGATGTGGCTCTGCAAGCAATACGACATACATATTGTGTGGGCTTTCAGTGATGTGGGCAAGCATGATGTCGCTTTACGACGTCGATTGCGTGAATCAATTCAGATGGAATATATCATGTCAGTGAGGCTGCCAGCGCAAATAGCGTACCTACCTATGCGAACTTTTCAAGCTGGCGCCTTCCCAGACTCCGTGTACATTATGGGATCCATTTGTGAACACTCCTACTACCGGGATGTCTTTTCCCAATTTGTTAACGTACCATTGTGCGGATTGATCATTTCGACTCGCTGTAACCTCACTCCTACGCAATTGCTTTGATGGTCCCTTTACATGTCCGTCGTTCACTGTCGCGCATTGAGCTTTAGGTGTCTTCAAATTAAACACAAGCGAAATGCTTTCGGCATTCCGAGTCGACCTTTTCCCTTCCATCTGCACCAGCACATCGATTTCTGGAGAAAAATCGTGCTTCTTTTCCGGCTCCGAAGTCGAAGATTTCATATTAATAGAGATCACAGAGCGTTCCGGAGCCCCATATAATTCTTTTGTCTCCTGCGGAAATGTCAGTTCTACAACGTACTTGCACTCTCGAGCATTGGGAACCCCTAATGAAGAGTTAGATTCAGACAGTTGTAAGCAACATGATATATACAGGGGAATGTATGTGGACTGGCACATGTGTTCGAATGCAGTTAAGTGAGCATACCAGATGCCGTCAGATCGCTGGTTGTCACACTTATTCTCTGAACGATAGGCATCCAATCCATCCGTTGAGCATCCTCGTCTACTCCTTTTGCAATTGAACACCATCCAGCAGGACTATAGTGTTTACAGGTCTAACATCGAAAAGCACAAAAATAAAAATAAAATGAATTCAGCGAGATTCCCTTTTAAAGCTGACAGCAACATATTGTATCATTCAGTGCAGCCTTTCTGAGCAATTTTTTTGGTATATCTGAAGGGAATTATCTGAGCCTCTCACCTGATCCATGGTGTATTGATCGTAGGTTTGGTAGACTAGCAAGGCAAGCGGTTCATCTGTTGATGCCCAATTATGGGCTCCTTCGGAATGGACTAAATGGGATATCGCTCCGGTGAGTGCGGAGAATTTCAATGTCCATTCTTCTTCGTTGCTTGTAGTACATTGGTGGACAATCTGCATATACGGACCGGTTGTGATCAACATATAGCGAGGTGAGAAGTTATTCGTACAAGGAATTGAATGCATCGCACATTGCTGTTAGAATAGGTTCACGGCGAACTTTAACTCCTATCTGCGAATACAACACAATCATACAAAATAAAATACTAAAGTGAGAAATACACTGATATTAAATTAAGTTCACAATGTGTTTTACCCATGCTCTGCAAATGATCAAAACGAATTTTACCTCAGAAGGAAGCTCCAAGCCATCAACAAGCGTGTATAGCGTGTCGGTGTTCGAATCAGGAGGTGTGTTCACATCGGGTGTGATCGTCAACTCGTTTAATTGATTCAACTCATTCACCACGAAGGGAAGGAGAGGGTGCGTGCTGGGAAGCAATCGTTCAGCCCATTTGTTGAAAGCTCTTTGTTCCTGCCATAAGTTCTCACTTCGATTGTATGCCTCACTTGCTACTAGAGGCCGGAAGATCACATTTTTATGCGATGTGGCATTTCCTGTGTTTGACGAGAATAGTTGTCAGTTGTCTTAGGAACGAATGCTTACTTACAATAAACCTAACAGTAGCGATCTTACAAAGGACAGTGACGGTCGTGTACCTGCTGCGAGCCAGCTGAAGCCCCATGTATGCTCGAAGTTCTTTATCAACGCTCTCGAAAAATGATGCCATGCAAGATCTTTACCATCAGAACCATCACAAACACCTGCTGCTTGGCAGGATACCCGCGCACGTGCCAAAGCCCTGTGTCAAATTAACGAGATTTAAGCTGAAGCTTTGTGGATCATGCAATCAAGTACAAGATGACTTTGAGCCCGCACATAATAGTCAGCATCGAGTTGATTATGCACCAACAACAATCTTACCTGTATGTTGCGACCTTCAATGGATCACTCTGAATACCGAATATCCAAGTGTCTCCCATTTCCTGGTCTACGACGGGAAGTGTCTCTGTGAGTGAAGGACCTATTGTTAGCAAACCACCCGCAGTTTCCCCGGCGGCATGATCAGTAAGCGTAGTGGCATCGTCTGTTTTTTGGTTTAGTGATAACCTAACGCTCGAAAGCCGATCATTCGCATCGGACTTTGTTGCTGTCGCCGCAGACTTTTCATTGAGAAGTCGAAAGAATCCGTCGTATGTGGATGCTTTGATGACTTCTGATTCGGGAAAGGCCGCTCTGGCCATACGTTCGACGTGAAACACGTCGGCCAGCGTATGAGACCCGGTATTATCCGTTTTGAATCCCCAGCAAAGCACGTGCGCAAGTCCTGGGATCTGCATAAGGTAGTTGTTGTAACATTTAGTCTGAGTGTATACGCTTGGATGTTACACTGCTAAATCTGACGAGCACGCTGCCTATGCAATTAAACTTCCTTCGTGTAGCAAACTACCGCAAAAAGAAGTCTTCATTTCAATAGATATGTATCGTTATGCTACCTGTTTTGAATAAGCGTGTTAGATAGCCCTGTGTATGTTCCTCAAATTTCGGAACCATTCTGTAAGTGCAAGGGGGATATGAAAAAATCACTATCTGTATCGCGTCAGATAGATAATAGTGCCGAATGCAATTGGTATATTACCTGCAAGCAGTCTTTTCTTGAAAGTCCCCCTGGTTGTGATGGTGTGGGTCCCGGGTTGTCAGGATAGCCGTGTTTGTGGTACGCCAGCACTACTTCTGATCCACTTGTGGGGTCTCTCCATTTACTGATGGGAGGTACGCCTACCCCTGCTGAACCCCCGTTTATGCCTGCGTACATAGAAGTTTATATACCTTTCTTAATACAATCAATATCAGATTTACTTGTAGACCTACCCTTCTTAACTGTAGTGAATACATGCATAAATTATTCGAAAAAAATCCACTATACAATAACCACAAGTTAGAATAGATTAGCACCCTTGGTGACACTTCAGACACACCTAAAGAAACGTACTTCACGCCCGCTTTATTTAATAAATCCAATGTCGCAATTGTAAGACCAGGAACATCTCTTTGGCTCAGCACCTCCGAGTGTGAGGTTCCGAATTCCTGGTGATATACGGTAGCGTGACAAAATGCGGAATCTACTGAGAAACGGTCCAGTGTACAATTTATGCAACAAGTGTGAAATTACAACCCTGAATCTTGAGAGCTGAATACAAATTAGTCATTAATAAGTGTCCAGGATACAAATCGCATGGCAAATCTAGTACCCGTGAAGACACATATCACGGATACGTAGAGATCGCCTAGTTCACACACCAAACAATGAGAAGTCTGGAATAAAACACGCCTACCTCATCCAGCGAAGTGGCAAGTGAAAGAAAGTATCGAAACAACGACGGTTCCGCCTGCTCCACTTCCGCATTGAAGGCTCCAGCATGCCATGCAAACACTCCCTGCTTAATAGCTCGCCTGTGGGAGAGAGATATGACCAATGATAAAGCGTAAATCCTTCAATATGAATGTTCTATTGACGACTGCTCGCCTCGAGAAGAGCAGGCGGTGAGTGTCCCAACGCGTTCACAAAAGGTATGTCTTAGGCACGTCTATGAGAGACATACTGATAACTATCACATGTTGTGCGCCTCATCAGATAGTTGAAAGCGTTTAAAAAAATTGCAACTATCGTATATAGGAGGGGAAATACCATGTATTGTCAATCCTCTTACCTGAACGTTGCAATCTCAGTCTCATTTGGGCACGAGAGTTCCAAGGCCGGCAATAGACGAAGATGTTTTGGGCAATCCAAGTACAAGCTTATCTGAAATTAATGAAATAATAGTGACATACTGTTGCCCGGGCTCTCATAACTGCAGTAGAAAGTAGTGTAACTGTCCATGACGATCATAACTTTATCGAAATAATAATTTTTCGAATACAACTGATGCAGTTTCGTGTGTACATGCATTGCGAATAAGTAGCGCCATACCAGATATGGTTGCGTTGTATACACATAGGATGAGTTCCAACCCTCGGATCTGCAGCGAACGTAAACCACATTTTATGCAGTGGCGAACTATTTTTTCAGTTGTCTTATTAGTGTTTAAAATTAATTACAAGATTGTTTTTTTGGAAAGCATGCATTAGACACCGCGCAAGAAAATTTGTCCTGAATAATGTTTGATACTTACTTCAGTTTGTTGGCCGTTTCGATAGCTTGCGGAAAGAAAAGGTCGAAGTAGTCGTTCACTACCTTGGTCAGCGAGTTCGTATAGCCCAAATCCAGATGATTCTAGAATTTTGTATATTTATTATATGGTGAATTTTAGAAGTGGATATTCTACCACTTTTTCATATCAAAAGCTTGAACGTAATAAGCTGCCTTTTGTGAGAAGTGTAAATCTGTCTTCAATAACATCAAAGCTGCAGGTAAGGATACAGATGATGTAATTGGTAAAGCTGTTTTTTCTTAATACGCAAAAGTGCAAAAGAATATGTGGCCTGGATGGCTGGAATGACTTAAAACCCTAATCATTTCTCAAAATAAACGCTCTTAAAACCATCAAATGTTGTCGCACAAAATTGTGGTGATGTTGGATGATTCTACTGATAAAAGATATGTGGATAACATATGAGCTAAGAAACTCTCACTGAAGCCCACGATACGGAAACCGCTGACACCAGGGAAGGATACAAGATGGAAATTCTCTCCTCAGCTATGCAGTATTTACGAGCTTTCTATGTAGAAAGGTCTACCTTTGTTCGTATCATGACCCCCGGGGTGTTCACGACACGTTGATAGGCACACCTTACGATCGAAGGAGAACATAATTGAAACTACTATCTGATAAATGATGTGCACAGTGTGGACCTTTATCTCGGCCGCTAGGGCCGCATCATTTTTTTCGGGTTTTGGTATGTAAGCAACGTGTATAGCCGAGTGAGCTAAGTACTACAGAGGTGTGTGGTAGGTATATTTGTGGGCAAGACACGATACGTCAGAATACGCTCACCCACTATCATACGTACAGAAGGAGTTTCGGATATATAAACGTTTATACACACACACATACCCAGACTATCATACGCACAAAAGGAGCTTCGGATATATAAACATTTACACACTCGTGTACTTATACTGCGGTGTGCAAGTGCGAGAACAGCAGAGCTGTTTAAATGTCAGGGTGGTTGAGAGACACACACACATAGACTGAACTGTACACTTGTGGGTGTGTATAAATAGAATTATTGCACGTAACTATGACAACCATAGCGTAGCTGTACACGCTCCCACCACACAACGCCACCAAGGCATAATAGAGTGTGGGTGTTTGCTTGTCGGTGGACTGATACGTTAGACAATGTGTAGGTACATATAAGTATGATAGACGCAACGGGCACACTGTCGCGATGCAGACAGGTGCGTAAAGCACTCAACAACATGTTTGTGCTAACCTCTAACCACTCACCTTTGTCACTGGAGGTGTACACGACACGTTGATTGGCACACTTTACAATCGAAGGAGAACATAGTTGACACTGTTACCTGATAAATGATGTGCACAGTGTGGACCTTTGTCTCGGCCACCAGGGGCGAATCAGCAGTAGTTGAAAGCGCCAAGCGTAGCAATATTGCGTATAGAACGCTCAGCCTCTCCAACATCGCTGTACGCATGGCTAATATATCTAGTACACGTAGGAGAACAGCCGCGGGAAGTATATCGGAGCCTTTAGTGCAGTCTAAAGAGCAGGAATGATACTTACAACTGATGAGGGAATAGTACTTGTAGCTGATGCTACGCCAAAGAAAAAATGCAGTACTAACACATATGTGACAGGCAGCTCAAGGTGATTGAAGTATAGATATAAATAATACACAAGAAGCGTGAAAATTAAAAAAACGACTGATGTGGAGATTACCAAAAAAAAAGCCGAACTCAATCGATAAGCAATTACTAGAATCATTTTCCCGCCAAAATTGGGAGACGTCCTATTTATTTATGTAAATACATATTTTCATATTGAACAATAGTCTCTCTATACATATGTATTTACAGTCCATATGTATGTAAAAATGTGAATAAATACGTACACGACAGTATATTAAATCTTTTTACATATTTAAATATCCTTCCAAATTATTTATACAATATTTACTGTGTGCACACTTCACTTTCGGCTGCTTTTTCCATAAAAAAAATAAAAATTTAGAAACTTCGAACATAAACTGAGGTCTGATGAGTCATAGCCTTCTTCTGTAATAGAACACTGTCAGTGTCATTGACCATCTACATATTTAGAATGAAAAGTAGAAAAATATGAGGGCGAACGGACGAGTCCGTAGGGATACTGTTGATATTCTCTCGGAGGTTCGTTCAGTCGTTCACAACATATTTGTATCTATTTATTACTTATTTATACATATCGTACGCTCTCATAGACCTCAGACATACACGCAGAGGCAATATGACAGACGAGCAGAAAACTATAAACGTGGGTTCACGCAAGAGCAAATTGGCTCTTCTGCAAACCAACTTGGTACGTATAAAGCGACATTCTGCTAGTATTGTATTGTATTGCTTATCACAGACCCTGTATATGTCCAATTATTGCAACAAGAGAACGCGCCTTTATGACGCATGTTTTACTCAAAATGATTTTCTACTACTTGAATAGGGGATGCAAATTAAGGAGGTAATTCAATATATGGAAGTACCTTTTTGAAGATCATATTATTCAAATTGATTCACCACTTCCTAAATAGGTGGTGGGAATGTTAGAGAAGCTCAATCCTTCGATCAGGTTCAATGTTATCACCATGGACACCCTGGGTGACCTGGTCTTGGACACAGCACTGTCCAAAATCGGAGAGAAAAGTTTGTTTACAAAGGAGTTGGAGACGGCTCTGCACTTGAAGAGTGTGGACTTCCTGGTTCATTCCCTTAAAGGTAGGAGGCGCCAGTATTTTAACTAATATATATATATAAACATACATACATACATACATATATATATATATATATATATATATATATATATATATATATATATATATATATATATATATATATATATATATATATATATATATATATATATATATATATATATATATATATATATATATATATATATA